CGGCCCGCGGCCCTTTCAAAGCCTTTCCCTAGGGCTGTGACAGGCCCCTCCCCTCCAGCCCCGGGAATGGGGAAAAGCCAGGGGGACGTCAGCTCCCCTGCACAGGCACCACAGAGGAAGGAAAAGAGATGAAGCCAGAGGACAAGGAGGGGGCAGCGCAGCCCCTGCCATGAGCCCACCTTGTACTAGTCCATCTGTGTAGCTGCATTTCTTTAAAAAAAAAAAAAATCTCTATCTACACGTTTGGTTTTGTTCTTTTTTTGTTCTTTTTTTTTTTTTCTTTTTCAATCCTATTTAAATAGGATGACATGACTGGTCTATATATGTTCTCAGAGCTGGCGCTAAACTGCCACTAGCACACTGCCAGAACAGAGGTTTATGTGAATAAAGAGGAAATGATCTTTCATGTCTCTGAAGTCAACCTTTGTGCCTGGTGGTCTGAGCATGGCCCACAAATCAGTTCACCCTATCTTGTCTTCAGTATCTACTTTAGAAGTCTTCATCTAATTTAGGCCAAGGTCCTCCTCTTGGACTAGGTTTGAGTGCTAGGAATGGTTTCACTCGGGTTCATATGAGCTCAGCCGTATCTCCACATGGTGGTGGGAGGAGATCTGGAGGGGCTCTTCCTGGCCCCCATGCTGACCTGGTTTCCATAAATAAGAAGAGAGATCATGCTACTCTCCAACACTTTCCCAGCCTGGATGTCTGGAGGCAGGGATGACATAGGACACCTAGCCAGGAGGTTTCGTATGTAGTCTGGGGAGAGTGAAGGCTTCCTACAGAGGGTAGTCCACAGCAAGAACCTCTCTTAGCTGTTCAGACTCATCTCCAGAGGAATCACTGGGCACTACACAATAATGCTACATTTTAGCCTCTCTGATCCATGCTCAGAGGGATATAATTCTTTGAAAAGTCATCTCAGAAATATACAGAATAATAACAAGGAGGGTAGCGGAAAGGGAAAAAGTTAATGCTGTAGCTAATAAAAAAATGGGATTTGGGTAGCAGGACCTTTTTGTTTCACTAAATGTTCAGTGACTAAAAGAGTTTCTAATAGATTAGATAGATTAAGCATGGGCAGCCAATGGGAGTGAGCAGCAGGAAGGCAGCAAGGAGTGCGCAGCCAATGGAGTGTCACAAAGTGCAGCAGCCAATGAAGAGCGCAGGGAGGGAGGGGGTGGCCAGTGAGGGACAGCTGAGGTCAAGGCAGAGGGTGAATAGAGAGGCGAGTGATGAGGGGCAGCCAATGAGCAGGTGCAGCCAATGAGCCAAGCGGGTGGCAGCCAATGAGCAGAGGCAGTCATGGAAGGACAGTCAATCAAGTGGAGCCATCAGTGAGCCAATGAGTTGAGGCAGTCATGGAAGGGCAGCCAATGGGATGAGTGCTGCAGTCAGCTACTAAGGCTCTTGCTATGGGGCAGCCAATGGGCCAGGGCTATTGCTTCAGGGCAGCCAATGGGGCAGGAAGCTTATGTTGAGGCAGCCAATGGGACATGGGGGCTGCTTCAGGGCAGCCAATGGGGCAGGAGGTCATGGTGAGACAGCCAGTGGGGTGAATGGGTCACATGGAGCAGCAAATGGGGCAAGCAGGTCACTCTAGGGCATCCAATGGGGCAGGCAGGGCAGCCAAAGGGCTGCTGTGGGGTGGCGGAGGGGCACTCACTTGTGCCCCTGGCAGGGGCTGTCGCGGGGCTGGTCGCAGTGGGGCCCGGCCCAGCCGGGCTCGCAGTGGCACACGGGGCCCTGGGCGCCGGCAGGCTGGCAGATGCCGTGCAGGCAGTAGAGCTTGCGGCAGGGCTCGCAGCCTGGCACCACCCCTGGCGTCATCCGCGTCTTCGTGAAGTCCTGCAGCTCGTTGTTGATGTAAAGGTTGCGGATGCACCCATGGAAGCTGGTGCCGTTGAGCAGCTGCCAGAGGCGGAAGGCGGCCGAGTTCACATCCACGGGCATCCCTGGTGGAGAGCAGGGTCCATCAGCATGCCGTGCCAGGCAAGGAGCCAATGCAGTCCTTGCCATGGCCATCCATGGGCCCTACCTCCCACATAGAGCGGGGCCTCGCTGTTGAGCGTGTAGTGCTTGCCAAAGTTGTCCATGGTCATGGGACTGCCGCCATCGATGGAGAGGTTCACCATCTGGTCGAAGGTCACCAGCTCCACAGTGTGGAACTCCCCATCGTTAATGGTCTCAGCACTAGCGGGGAGGGATCCATCACAGAGGTGGCCATGGCCCCTTCCTGCCCCATGGAGAGCCCCCCAGACCCTCCTCAAGCTCCCACAGCAGCAAGGATGGGGTTGGCTCCGGGCAAGGTGGGGCTTGAAGAACAACTCCCCCCAGCAGAGAGATACCTGTAGATGGCCGAGCTTGGGTGGGTGCCGGGGTCGTAGCTGACCCTTACGTGGCCCTGGTACAGCTCCACGGCCATGTGGTCACTGTCCCCATTGTACAGCAGGATCCCGTTGCCTTCCGCCGTGGAGACCTGGTGGTAGGAAAGGAGGGAGCCCCCCCGTCCCATGCCAGCCCAGCCACCTGTGGCTCCCCAGCTCGGCCCCGTGCACCCACCTGCAGGGTGATGTTGGCGTGGGGCCAGTCCTGCAGGTCGGTGAACTGCAGGTACGTGTCGCGGTCCACGAAGTTGACGCTGAGCAGCTTCTCGCACTTGGGGCCGCCGAAGCCGGGCAGGCACTGGCAGAGCGCCCGGGCGCCCAGCTCCACGCACTGGGCACCGTTCTGGCACTCGGCCCGCTCGCAGGGCCCAGGCTGCCCAGCGGCGCGGGGCGGCATCTCGCACAGCTGGCCGCTGTGGGGCAGAGAGGACACGCGGGGGG